ACAGAAGCAGCTTGGATTAGGAGCTTGACTTCACCTGCTGCACACGCGTATCAGTGCCAGCGCAAAGGCTGGGGTCCAGAATGTGAGAGTGAGCGTCCAGGCAAACAATTCTTACAGAAGAGAGACCTGACATTGTTTTTTACATTGAAATGCATGGACACTAATCGGAGAGTTCACAGTATAAATAGTATGCATACAACCTGTGCCTTTGAAAATCTATTAACCATAATCAAGAATCTACATGTTCTTGATATACAGAACTGTGAATCATTTTATAGAGAATTAGATTCCTTCTAGTTTATAACAAACAAGAGATTTTGAAACCTTTTTAGGATTAGAGAGTAGAAGCTCTCAACTAATAAAACCTGTATTTTTAATTAAATTTCAGTCCCACTGAGGACAAGGGAAAAGTATAATTGAATTAGGGATTCATTTGTAAAATTGCAAATATTAGAGCTAAGTATCATCACAGCTGTAGGTGACCGCAAGAAAAATATGAACATTTAAAGGCATTCCTAGTAACCGCATATGTTGTCGGAAGTCTGCATACTGTTTCAAAATACCCCTCTGTTTAAATCAGATGTTCCCTGCATTGTAGCTAGTACTAAAGAGCTTTAAAAGTTTTGGTATCACATGTTGTAGTAAAGACTTGTACTTTCTTCCTTCAATTTTCCAAATCCTGCCCACTTCCTTAGGACCCATGTAGCTCCCAGTCAGTTTTAGGCTGCTATTTCCATTTTACTTCAGGGCTTCAAGCATTCTGAGATTGGCTCAGCAAAGCACCAAAGTATACACATAACTTAAAAAGATATGTCACCCTTTTTATGAGGTTAGTTATTACTAGATTTCGCTACATTTTCTTGTATAATTATAGCAAGCTTCAGCTACAATCAATAATACTTTTCCCATCACTAACAATATAACAAGATTAGATTATTATATATGCACATTATTTATGTGTGCAGTATGTGTGAACACCCAGTGAATGCATTCAATTACAGTGTTCACACACATGCCTATAAGTTAATGCATACAAATATGCACATGCACCGTAAATCTAAAGATAGCGGACGGCTTCACTGTCTATTGCCATGTCTAAAGCACTTCTTTTGATTAAAACTTAGATTGAAGGCTATCAGCCACCCAAAAGAATACATCCTTGAACTGCATCCCATTAAATCATTCTGCTTGCTACACTTAATAAATATGCCCTTCCTCGAGATCCTTCATTTTGTACTTACATTTACTATCTAACGGTTATTTTAATGTACCTTTGGAATAATCAATCAAAATACCCAAGCAACAATCCTTTCCCCATATTTTCAAGTAATCAGAATACTTACACTTATTCTTTTTTTCTTCTGCACGCAGGTTTATTTTGCTTTGCTTTAGATGAGACTGAGCAGGGATCATATTTTCCTTATTTTCACCCACTTCTTTCTGGAAACTAACTTTATTTTGGCTCTGTTATGTCAAAGCACTGAAGCATTAGATAAAATTTAATGAAAACTGCAGTCCCATGGGATTTAAGCATATACGTTAATCCTTTACTGAAATTAGGAATTTCAGCAGGGAGACATCTAGAAGAGTTTTGGTAGTTTTCTCAAGCGTTGCCAGTGAACAGATAAAACTCATGTTATTTGCTGAGTATCAGCTGAACAGTATATACATACCGATAATCCAGTCCTAACCTGAATGATGGCATTAAAAACCAGTGGCCAGTTTAACTGTGCTGTTATTCTTAGATTTATAACTTAGATTTATAACTATGTAACAGCTAAACGGTCAGCATATTTTCTTTCACAGCTGCAATACGAAAACTACCAAATCTGTTGGGTTTTTTTTAAGTTCTAGTTATGGGAGAATCCTATCAGCTGCAAAATCACCAGGTTTATGAAGTCAGTCACCCAAAGATAGACTTAACATCAAACAGGCCTTGATAGGAGACAAAACACAGGAATATCTGTATGCCAGTTCTCTTTAATAGCAAATTATTTAGAAAAAAACCACCAAAACAAGAAAACAAGTCTTATAAAAACCTTAGAACTGTTGCATATAACCTTAATAAAATAACATCATATAAGCTTAACAAAATAAAGTTTTCTCATGTAAAACTGAGTTAAGCCATCACACACAGCAAATCCAGACAGAAAAACTATTAGCAAGACCACCTGTATGCTTCTTGTTTAATTTCTACTTCAACATCAGAATTATTTGTTATGCCTAAACTAATTTCTCTATATAAAAGAACCTGATACAAAATTCATGTTGTCACTGTTGTAAGGTGAATGATAAAATGGTTATGTCTCTATTTCCAAAAAGTCTGATTTGCTATTCTGAAGGACTATGTCCTGTCTTTCTTACAAGAAAACAGAGGGGAAAACATTTTAAAGGCTGAATAACAGTCATAGGGATTAAAATGTTCATATTACACTCCCCTAGAATTTAGTTTAAGCTTTTAAATTACTCTTATTGATATCTGTAAGTCTTTTAAGCCTGGAAGACACAGAACATTTGGGGAAAAGGGAAGAAATGACAGAAACTGTTGGTGCACGGAAGCTATAAATAGAAACCAAAGGGAGAAAAGTATCACCATACAAATCCCTCAGTTTCTTCTAAATATTGTTTCTAGGTACAACATTTTGAGGCAAATGTTCTCCAAATTAAGTATCTCCATCAGATATTTTTGGGTGTCGATTTAACCTCAAACTTTTGAGGACGAAGAACATCTCAGAGGTTGTTCAAGTCTTAATGTGCAATAAGATGACAGCAAGTAGAGTCCTGTATTTGGTACACCATTAACTTCTAGCAAAGAGCCCATTCATAGTAATGTCAATACAAGATTACTGTAATTTGTCTTGATTCAGCAACACATTTAAGCCCGTGCTTACTGGTAAGCATATGAGCTATTCCGCTCTAAGTGAGCAAAGACACAGCGTTAGCCATTTTCCTTGGTCAGCTTTGCACAGAAGG